CTACAATTACTGAGACATGATAAACACAACTTATCTATTTGGGAGCCAAATATGAACATTAGAGTATGTCGAGTATGCTGAAGTTGAGTATCACAGCCAACTGAGGGCTGCAATTTCTTTCTTCATTTCCTAATAAAAGAAGACAAATTAGGAGTCAGTTTAAATATAAGCTTGAGAACCCTGTTTACTTCTTCATCAAAGAATCAAGAATCTGTACATACATACAATTGTTAGTAATATTTAGCCAGTACATGTGCTACCACCATCCCAACATCTTTCTAGACCCATTAGCTTCAAACTCATCCTTAGGCACCCAAAATAGAGAGTAGGCTAGAGAGACCACAGGGATCTATATCAAGGGACAATGGATCTCTATCAACAGTACTTTGAACAATGAGAAAGAAGCCAGTTCCTGAAGAGCCACAATTGAAAGCTGGAACTGTTCTGTTCTGCACTCTGAATAAGTTCTTGTTAAAGTCTCTCTCTTCATACAGTAGAGATTGCTCCTGGCTGACTTGCACAGTCACTCTGAACAGGAGATAATTTTTTTTGGTTTAAGGTAAAAGAAGAAATCAAACAAAGAAATCTGGTCCAGTCACAAAAGCTGACAAGCCCTGATATAACATAAACAAATCCCTTGCCTTTCTAAAACACATCAATATGCTAGATGAGAGAAGGGTACATTTTTCAGAAATGGCCTCCCTGAATCCAAATAATTCTCAGTGCTTCACAGTCAGAACATACTGTCCATTCTCTTAGACATTGAAGAAGAGATCAAGATGGTCAGGGCTAAAAAGAAGATGCTACCTTTTTTTTTTTTCAGGCAGAGTGAGAGGCATAAAGAATTTTATCGATTCTCAGGCACAAGCATCTGAAACACAAATGGATTCAAGGAAGCTGAAGACAAACTATACAACCTGTCTAAATCAACTCAATACTGAGGATGCCTTACTGGGGCAGTGGGTGCCTGTGAAAGATTTCTGCCAAGTTCTAACAACTCAGAAATCCTCTCTTAGAGGAAGAGATTAAAGAGTTGGACTCAGTGACATCAAACCATCATAGGCAGAAAGCTACCAAATTAAAGATGCTTGAGCCACGTGAGTTACAGAGAAAATCTGGTGAGACTAAAGAGAAGTCTCAAATTCTTGTAATGTTTCATACTTAATTTGTTTTCAAGAATGGAATGACTACTACACAAGTGTTACCATGCGTGACTGCCTGCAAGGGGAGAAAGAGGAAGTGGCAGACTGAGAAAAGAACCCTCCTTTCTCAGGCACCCTCCCTGAAAAGGTACTGAAGAAGGCAGAGTGAGGTTAATCTTTTGAGAGGCCTGTGTGGGTGGCTCCATTGTCTTCAAGCCTATTCCTGCTGAAATTGCCAACGATATTAAGCTATTAGAGAATGTCCAAAGGAGGGCAACGAAGATGGTGAAGGGCCCTGAGGGGAAGCCGTATGAGGAGCAGCTGAGGTTACTTGGTCTGTTCAGCGTGAAGAAGAGGAGACTTAGAGGAGACCTCATCATACTCTACAACTTCCTCTTGAGAGGGAGAGGACGGGTAGACACTGCTCTCTTCTCTGTGGTAAGCGGTGACAGAATCCAATGGAATGGCCTGAAGTTCTGTCAGGGGAGGTTTAGGGTGGATATTAGAAAAAGGTTTTTCATACAGAGGCTGGTTGAGCACTGGAACAGGCTGCCCAAGGAAGTGGTCACAGTACCAAGCCTGTCTGAGTTCAAGAAGTGTT